AATTAATTTGGCTAAACTTTTGTTGGAAAAACCAGTACCTACAGAATAGTGACATAACTAATTAAGCTTTCGTAGCATGGTTTATCTAGGTAACTCTATCAGAATCCCACAATACAATTTAGTGATTTTTCAGGTCAGATAGTAAACAAGTGAAAATGCATCGCACATTGAAACCTTCTTAGCCTGTGTCGAGTTCAATTTGCGAAGAGCGATGATGTTTTATAAAAATATGGCGTGAAATGACGAGTTCTCTCGCTACTTTTTCTACGTAATTTCGTTTATCTAAAGGTTTTCATCGCAGCTGAACAAATGCCTAGTTGGTAATGAGCGGTGAGTCATGCGATACAAGTTGTTTTCCGAGAAATCGTTGACTTATAAGTTATAACGAATATTCGCCGTTTCACCTTTCAGAGTTTATGTGAGGAAATCAATACAAATAAATGAAAATACGATTATAATTTGTTAACTTTATTTGTTATAACAACTTAACATCTTACTTTAAAAACTAATTCGGAGAAAATAAACTAAAATATTTAACAGTAATTGGAAGGATAATCCGTCCGGACGATCAGACAGATCTCGTTGGGCTCTCGGCCGGGGTACGGTTGTATGGTTTGGTACGGGTACGGATTGGATTGGATAGGCACTTCTTCTACGAAGTAGCCTTCTGAAACGGATATTTCTGCCGTATTACTCGGCACGTAACTATAACTGCCCGCATTTGCCGCAGAGTTGGCGTAGCTACCTCCGTTATAGCTTCCCGAACTGGCCTCAGCGTTCGCGTAACTAGCATCGTAGCCTGCGTCAGGGAAGTATACTGGGCTAGTGTCGTAGACACCAGATCCCCCACTATAAGGGACATATTCTCTACTATAAGGGACATATTCTCCACTATAACTACACCCATAGCCGCAGTTTCCCCCTCTGTTACCGTTATTACCACCTCCCTTATTCCTGTTGAGGATAAACATCAGGAATATCAGATTGAGTAGACTGTTACCACCACCTCCACTGCCCGAGTCAATGATGATTGGTGGCAAAGGAGCAGGAGGGTAGTAAGGGCTATAGTTTGAAACTGAAGGAGCTGTGAGGCCATAAGCTGAGCTGGTATCATAAGTCTGGACCACGGGTTTGATGATCGCTGGAACGGTGATGGCAGTTGGCGATGCTGATGCTGATGCAGTCGACGTTGCTGTTGATATAGATGTTGCAGTGGACTGACACAGGCTGCCCTGGAAGAATAGATAACATGAATTACGTCAGGATCTTGTTCAATGGCGTTTATAAATATGAGATTGACATCTAGTACTCATTAAAATGAGAGTTTATTTGTTTTTATAATAAATCAAATCAAGGAGAGTGCACAAAATCGCACTTTTAAATGCAATAACTTGGTCAAGATAGTCAGACTGCAAATGTGGTATCTATGTGTATTGCATTATGTGATGAAATAATGGTGTCAATTCTAAGTTATAGTAGAATTCTATACCTTCAGAGCAAGGATGCATGCTGATAAAAAAGCCGTCGTTCTAACGCCCATGGTGTGTGTTTAACATAGTCGCATTCTTTGTTTTAATTCCTATATATACTTGTAATTTCAAAAGCAAGTCGGTCACTAGGTAACTCCGAGTGTGGTAACCTTGACTTTGGTGCATTCAAGCACGTAATGTTTTGGAAGATATTCGTATTCGCGATTAGTTATTTTTATCAAAGCGCAGTCGGTTACAAGAACATTTTACTGTGTTGTCGGTTTATAGTTAGTAAATATGATAGTTTATCTAGGATTTGTGCTATTTTACTATGTGTACACTTCTGCTAACTATATTAAGTAACGCCCTTTAAAGTATCGTAAGTATCTATTAGATACGTAGGTATTTGTTGATTAATGTTTACAAGGAACTGGATCAAACATTTTCGAAATAATTCCTATCAAGAATTTCAAAATCTCCTAATTTTGAGATTATTTTGGCGGACAGTAACGGCAGTTGTTCAGCGTAATAATAATATATTAATATGCTAGACAGTAAAAAGATATAATTCTGCTCTATCCACCTCTCATAGTTACACTGACACTATTTTATTACTATTCAATATATAATACTCTTCATTCTATACATAACAGTGGCGTGCTAGGCCTGTGGTAGTCTCGCTTACTCGTATTAATATTTTAGCTACGTGCATAGTTGCGAGCACATCGGCCTACTACATTATGACAAAGTAATTAATTTAGGACCTTAACAAAAAGAGATAATATTCAAAATGAATTAGGGAATAATCCATTTTGCAAGTCGGACTGCTGTCGATTGTAAAAAGGTTCAATTCAAATAATATTTTTGTGCCTAGTATTTCAATTATGTTAGAATTAGGTTTAAAGCTAATATTTTCCTAACAATTTTCGTTCGAGTGCCTAATAATACTTACTGTGCAATACCTCTACTATCTCGAACCATAAATTTTAAACGGTTTAGTCTGTGTCTGGCGAGGTGCAAGTTCATTAGCAATAAGACGGGAGAATTTAATGACTCTGTAGTAATAGCCCCATGCGGGCTTCTACAGGGTGCGCCAAAAACTTTTGCAAATAGCAACGATTCATTTCTCGAAAGGTAGAGACGCGTAGATGGTCTGAAACTGTTCATAATTTCATGGATTTTTGTCACTATAGAGCGCATGAAACAACATTCTTGGTTTATGTGTGATTTTTTTGTATTATTAAACTGTGTTTCCCATTAGTTTTCCATCTCCCACGTGTCCCACCATCGAACTGTTTTCAAGAAATCAAGCGTTGCTTTTGTAAAAATTTTTGGCCCAACCTGTAGAGTAGCCGCCAGACAAAAGATAGGTATTTGCGATCCTAAATTTTCTCGTAAAAGTGGTTTAGTGCTTTTGAACAGAATTCCACATAATGTCGCTTTTGTTGAAAAAGTTATGTCATTCATAAAGAAAAATGATTATGTTTAATTTTCCTGTCGTAACGTTATTAAATTCAACTGCATAGTTTGTGCTCATTTATCACCTAATAAAATACAGAAAGGCACTGAATACTCAATGTGAAAAGTCGGAATTTGAACTTTAAATCTTATTTTCTAAACAATACTCTCACTCTCTGCTGAACTTTTGGTGATAGGTAAAAAGTCATACATGAACACCAAATCTATAATTATTATGTAAGGGTAGGGAGAACAGAGGCCTGTTTCTGTACCTATTTTTACAACCACAAACAAAAAATTCTGGGTATTCTGATTCTCGAAATCTGAAATCCAAATCCGATAGTTTTGAGCACAAAGGTCTTCCCGGAACCAGTGAATAAAAGGATTTTTCTGGGTATAGTCAGTCGCTAGTCCAGTTTTATAATGACTTTAAAAATTATACGATCCTACTCGTATCTACTACTGGTTATTTGTACTTAAAAAACACGAATTTTCCACTGATTTTATTTAACATTTTACTAAGATTGTGCAATTGATTTGTTTTTAGATTGAATTGACTTTACTAAATCATAGGAGTTTTAGATGTTGTTGCTAGCTTGTATCTGTAACCTACATTAACGTATACATAATAACATACATGCGTAGATACACATGCACGCATCTTGACATAAATACTTCGTTCATCTCACGCATGAGTTGCGCGACCACTTAGCAAGTACATTTTCTCTGCCAGACGACGTACTATTTTCGAATCATAAGACATTCGTTTAGGGTTTTCTACAATTTGGTATATAAATTTAAATTCGCGTGCTTGAAAATATGCTTCTAAGCTCGTTACAATAAGGGTCATCGCATTAAGCAGCAGCACTGATTCCTTTTGAAGCGGCTGATTACTTTTCGTCTCTGAAAAGCTGTCCTATAGCCAGGAGCCATTACTTCTCCAGGTGATGTTGCTACATGTTTTTGAGTATTCCTCTTTTGCGCACTCTTTCTTTGATGCGCTGGTAAGTAGAGACGGATAATTAAGATTATTTCTTGCTGTATCAATGTAGGCATGGTTGTTGCAAAGTTTTTGTAACCCAAAATCATTGGCCAGGTACTGCCTAATTGAGGGTAAGGTAAACTAGTCATCATTTCGTGGTAAAGAAATTTGAGTAAAAAAATACCAATAAATTGTTTATTTATGCAAATAAACGTTGCATGAGTTTTAGTCATCTTACGTTAAAGTTACATCAGATTTACTAAAGCAAGTCAACTTGCCTTACTCTTTTATCACAGAATTAGGTGAGTCTACCCTACCTATCTGCCCTTGAAAATTCGTAGCCTAAACTAAACTGTACTTCGGGAAAGCGCCATCACATAGTTTCTAATAGGTACTTAGAAAATAGCTTCAACTAAGTCTTGCATATTTGCAAATATTTTACTTGCGAATACTGCAAAGCTTGGTGAAAAGCAGTGGAAGATAAATGTAGAGTCATTTGTCGGGTTCCACTTTGCATTGCAAAGTTCATAAGCCGTTATTAGGGCGGCTGGTTGTGTTATTATTATTATGTGCTGTGCCATTTTGTTGGATATATTTTTTTAAATGCATTCAAGATTTTAATTCTGTGATCAACTTTTGGAGTAAACGCAAACAACAGCGTCTTCTAGAAACTCATCGTGACATTTATTGTGTTAGGTAGGTACAGTCAGCGTCAAACAGACACCTAAAGTAGCCAAAAAGTTCGCAACACGTCTTTGTTACAGTTTGAATAAGGTGGCATTGTCTACTTTTTGGCCACTTTGGTTGTCACTATTTGATGCTGACTACACTTACACATTGCAACACTAGCAGCAATAGCCGCAACGCAAAATTATCTTTCGATAGGTACTCTAGCGATCGTGGAGATTTTTTTGGGAATTACTATTTTAGGAAAGGAATAAGGTTAACCTTCTGCTATAATTTGTTTTTATAAATACGCAAATGAAGGCTTGACTGATAATATTTATTTTAATATTCGTGATGTAACAATTTTCATATACATACCTAAGATTTGGTATTGGAATAAGACGTAATAATTGTTTATTCAAAAACTTCGTACTAACACATAAACTTTATTGACCTTAAAATGTACATACTAAAATTTACAGGACCTTCACATGGCTGTGAGGGTTGTAACTTAGTTACAGGGGTACGGGGAGGGGTAAGGCACGTACGGTTGCCCGGTGCAACCGCCGCAAGCGCTGCAACCGCCGCCGCAGCTGCAGCCGCCGCTGCTGCCACCGAGTAGACCGCCGCTGCCGTTGTTGTCCAGAAGCAGTAGAAGTAGAAGTGGCATGATGCCGTTAAAGCCGTTGTTATTGCCGCTGTTCCCGCTGACCACGATCGGGGGAGGGTAGGGAGGGTAGCCGCCATATTGCGCGCTGACGAGGAGAATCTGTGGACACAAAATTGTTTTTAAATGAGGACAAAGTTGATTATATAACTGGGAATATATTTGGGACGCAAGTAGACCTTCTTCTGCCTCGCCCTATCCCGTTACGCGGGGTCAGCTTTCCCAATCATACGGCGCCATTTGATTCTATCTTGAACGTCTTGTTCGTGGATATACTTTCATGTCCTTTTGGACATTCGTCATCCAGCAGTCCGTCACACATTTTTTAACACACTCGCAAGGAAAAAGCGTCTTTGCTAACTTACAGTTCATAAGTCTAGTATCAGCGTCGATGGGTCCAAGTCTAACCAAGGACAAGGTAATTAATCCAGTCGCTGTCCAAAAGGAACCTCTATTAATGAGTTATATAAAAACTATATCCTTTGAAATAAAATAATATACTCACATTGGCGTTGGCGATAAGAACTAAGCAGAACATCCACCAAGCTGAACCCATTTTTGTATTAAAAATATTTTTAATTTAAATTACAGAGAAAGTATCATCAGATTCGCACTAAATGAAATACAATGAATAAAAATTATACCACGTTTATATAAAAGTTCCGGCTATCTATAGGAAATTTAGCAATTCAATCATGTCTTACGGCAATGCATTGATGAAATGGTTTTCTAATTGTTGCGTTATACTTTGGAATGGTGTTGCTTTAATTGACATTAATATGGAACTTAATTAATTACTTAAACATTTTACAGGCAGTTTAAGATAAGATAAACACTGAATTATCAAACCTTAATGATGCGAAGTTGTTTTCTAATGTCTATTAAAGATAAAAAAAATAGTCTTTTGTTGGGTTGCCATTCACTCAGAAGTTAGAAATTTTCGAAGGATGAAGTCAAGGAAAGAATACAGTCAACCTTTAACTCAAGTTCAAGTGTTATCTCAGGCATCGGACTTATTCACAGATACAAAAATACGAGTAAGGGTCGATTTTTTTAACCATCTGTTACCTTTTATAAATAATAATCTGCTATCAATGCAACAAAATAATTTAAGCTTTTTTTAAGCGCGCCAGGAGTCTGCCTAATATTTTCTATAACATTATACTCCTAGATTATTCACGTCTTTGTAAGCCACACAGTCGTTTCTGGAAAGGAAATAGGTTACATATATACTAGTAGTCGTTAAGTAAAGGAAATAGCATACTTCGACTTAGGCTAGAGTTGAAACTAGACTGCTTGAGGCGCATTCCAAAAGTTCATTTCATAATACTTATTCCATTGGCCTAGATAGAAAATCGTCTAAATTGCATTGCATTCCATTTGTAGGTATTCTAACTGAACACTGAACATACCTGAAAAATAAAATCTATAGGGTTCTGGAAAAACAATTTTCAGATTGGATAGAGTCCCCAGGGTGCTCCAGGCGTAACACCTAAATAGAAATTGTTTACTTTCGTTCTTGAGTGGTATACGAGTAGGTACTTTTTTTATACAACATTATTTAGCTTCTAGCAAATAGTTACCAATTAAGCTACATATTTATTTGTCCTAACTCTTTAATTCCTCTAGAAGTCTAGACATTTTGTTAAGTACATCATCTATGTAATCTTTGTAGGTTGTTGTAACAAATGTAGCAAATAAATAATAAATATTTTCTTTTTTATTTATATTACGTGCTATTTTTAGATTTATCTCGGCAAGTCGGCCATGACACTGGGAGACAGAGACTCATTATCGTAAGAGGCCATTAAGACCAGACTGGTCCAACTAAGGCACCATTTCATGATTTCCTCAGACTATTGCGATGTATTTTGTCTGTATATCTCATTCGTTCTCCTAGGTCTCAAAATACAGTGTATCATTAATTTATGGTTTCGACCATCTACCTACTTCGCTATGTCTACTAAAAGCTTGCTGCAAAATAGTAGCCTTACTTACTTAAAAGTTGCGCACCTTGAACGAACACCATAAAGACATAGTATGGAAATGCCATTTAAAACTTTTCATTATCTACAAAGGGAATATGTGTTATAGAATTGATATCCAAAACGAATTATACTATGTCTCGTTGTCCACTGGCATTGATATTCTGGAAAAATGTTAGTGCTTTTCTGTTATAATAAAGCTGTTATAGGTATGTCTTTTTATAGGACAAGATAAGAGCACTCATAAGAAAAATACGCCCATACTAATCGAAGATAAGTACATAATATTTTGTATAAGTCCCCAACATATTCCACGATTTACTCATGTCTCAAAGTTTGTCTTAGCTTAAACCAATGTGGTTAAATGTGTCGTATGATAACGATATCAGTCTTAATTATCTTTTATAATACCTTTTTCTACAGATTAAATAGTCATTTAAGTAGAGTTACTTATCGGGCACTGTCTCAACCAACTTGGACAGAAAGTTCAAATTCAAATTCAAATTCAAATTCAAATTCAAATTCAAAATACGTTTATTGTGAACCACAGGTACATAGGTTGTCAAATTATAAATGGATATAGATCGGCTGCGTTCCGCCTTGAAGGCATACAATAGTTACTTAGTGCTTAATTCTAGGGTTAAAGTTTATGCTGAAGGTTAGGTGCAAACATATTAAGTAATTATTCAGAATTGTGTGAAAGTGATGCATTCAGGTGAAAAAACATAGGGTAAACTAAAGCTTTTTTCGAATAATCTTCTTTTGTGTATGGTTTGTAAAGTCTGTTATTATGACATGGCTGATGCGTATTACTTTTTCATTTTTGTCTTTATGTAACTGTATCTTGAAACTAAAAGAGTCTGATCATATTTTTACGTGAAACTGATCTAGAAAAATCATCAATGCTGTCGACTACAAAAGCTCTGCTTGGCGTAGGAAGTAAAAGTTCTGGAGCTGACGATAATGAAGTAAAGAATAAAAATCTTCCTTTCGTACTTCATTTTCCATTTTATTAGTTTTGGAGTAATTTTCGTTATCCTGTGTTATTTAGGGGTATGTAGTATCAATCATTCATGTCTTCAACTTCTTCGAACAAATCTACTATATAAAAATAAGTCGGGTTTTCCTCCCTGACGCTATAACTCCAGAACGCACGAACCGATTTCCACGGTTTTGCATTCGTTGGAAAGGTCTCGGGCTCCGTGAGGTTTATAGCAAAGAAAATTCGGGAAAAGGGGGTAAAACAGGATCCACGCGAACGAAGTCGCGGGCGGCCGCTAGTAAAAATATAAAATTAAAGATCGGAAACCATTTTATTTACTACAAACAAACAAAACGCTCTCTTATCTAACTATACATTTAGTTATTGCCCAATGACAATATCAGAAGCCAGGGTAAGATGTCTTTGAAGCCACCACCGTTGTTGCAGCTCTGGGGGATCACGATAGGCTGGCATGGGGGAAGGTAAGATTGGCTGGGTCCTCCGTATGGGGTTCCATAAGGTCCTACGGGGACAGCGTCGGAGATCTGTAAAAAAGTTTTTCTTAAATCAGAGTTTCATATAGGCAAAGCTCTTGGTGTTCTGGTATTATTTTTGCTATCTTGGTTCTGTAGTATAGGATTTTAGTTCCAAGAAACTTGTTTCAAAGTTTGGTTTCTTATCAATACTTACGCTGAAGCACACTAGAGCAAGAACTACAATACACGCTACTGACACCATTGTGTTTGATTGTGTTTGTCTGTAAAGTACTAATGATGCCAAAACGTTGTTCGAGCATTTTTATATGGAATTTTATCTTAACATTGCGTTTGTATGGTACATCGTACTAGCAGTACAGAGGTGAGTCAAACGCATGTGCACGTAGAGATAAAGCTGGCAAAATCGCGTAATAGTCTATTAAACTTTGCCAGACACGTGCTATAACACGTTTATTATTATTTTGCAAGGAACTTTTTCAAATGCTACAAGAATTTATAAATAAGAACAAGTCAAATTAAAAACAGTTTTTTATTTACACTTTTTTATTATTAAGAGTCTGCTCGGCTAGGTTTTACATAATATAAATACTTATTGTTATTAATTAACTTATGCCTACAATTTGGTTTAGTGCTAATAATCATCATGGTATTCATGGCTATAGTCATATTCTCTGGATATTTCAACACTTTCGGGCTTTGAGTTCTTATATTTTCCATATGTCTTGTTGCTTTTTCGATTGTAATATCTGTCATGTTCCTCATATTCTTCAGATTCATCGTTTTTGTATTTTGAATTATCCTCTGGTTTATTATAATATCTGTGTCCTTTCTGTTTTCGATAACTTCTATATCCGTCTTTTTCGAAGTGATCATTACGGTTTGAACATTCACAATGATGGCATCCACAACTATTTCTCTCTTTTATCAGATTAAAAATCAGTGGTAATAATGCTTTGAGATTTGAAGACTGTGATGCCTGTTTTGACAAACTTGAAGCTAAAATAGAACTGATGGTAGGCATGACTGAAGATGTGGATGAAGGCGGTGTTTGACTTGGCATAGAAGAAAATAGGCTAATCTTATTCTGATCTGGATTTGATATAGAGGCAGCTTGTGAATGAGGTTGAACGGATCTTATTATTGTTATTTGATTTGGGGTTTCAGCCGGATTCTGTGCTAAGAAAGGCGTGTTATCTTTCCCTTGGTTTTGCTGTGGCACGCCTACAATTGTTAGCAATGATGGCTGATTATTCTGTGATACTGCAGCCGATGGTGATATAGAGTTGACCAATTGTCTATCAACTATATACGAAGGTACACCAGATATTGAATATTGCTTATTTTGAGGGCAAGTTACTGACGTTGACTCGCCTCCGGCATTGTTAATACATAAAGTCGTTGACGAAGATGGTTCTGAAGACGTTACAGGAGCACAAGATGGGGCACTTGTCCCTTGACAAGTTTGCACAAACTGACCATTTACTGAAGGGGACGATGTATCAGAAAACTGACTTAGCATTTTTACATTACTGTAAGTTGGATTCTGGTTCTGCACATTTACATTTTGAGGAAGAGAATTGTGAGAAGATATTTGTTGGAAAATGGGATGTTGTTGTGATAAAGTCTGTTGTGAGAAACTCGTAGGTTGAATGCTTAGCGTCGAATGCTGTAGATTGAGAGGCTGTTGAGTATTTACTGACTGTGGGTTCAAAACTTGCGAGTTACCCAACTGGAAAGTTTGTTGTGTGGTCACAGATTGTAAATTTAAAGGCGACTGCGTTGTCACTGACTGTAAAATAGGCTGTTGGGTGCTCACGGTCTGCAGATTCGAAGATTGCTGGTTATTCAAACTTTGCAAATTAACAAGCTGCTGTACATTCACTCCTTGTGACCCTTGAGATTGCAGATTCTGTAGTTTCTGTAAATTCACCGACTGTTGCACATTGTTTGGCAAAATGTGGTTCTTCGAAAACTGATTTAAACTTTTCTGAATGATATTTCCTTGTGACTGCATTCCCACGGAGTTGTTTAAAAGTAGGTTAGATAGAATATTTGAACCATTTTGCTGACTGCAGCTGACCTGAAATTAACAAAAAAAATATTAAAAAATAAGATATTTCATAAATAAACAAAGACC